CTCCTGAGATCTGCTAAAGCTGCTGATGAACGGGAAATGGTAATTTTGCACACTGGGATGCTGAGCAGAGGCTGCTTGTAGTAGCTCCAGGCACCCCGTTAATTAAATCACTGGACTCTGCAGGGCCTCCCTCCAGCGCTGCCGTGTGCCTATGGGCCGCCTGCGTGAAAACCCAGCTGATGAGATGCAGAGAGGCTGCAGCGAGTAGCTGGGAGGCTGCTTATAAAATATTTCTTCCCCCAGGCGGGTTTTTAATTGGCTAGCTGGGTTTTCGTTAGCTCTGCTTCTCTAGGATTAGATGTGAGTAATTGGGATGAGGAAAAAAAATTATATATACTTTTTTTTTTTTAAATGCATAGCCAATTTTAAAGCAGTGGGATTTGAAACCCATGGTTATACTTGTCCTTCCAGAGGGTAGCTGGTTGGACCAGCACAGGGGCTGTCCTCTTTGTGGTGCCTCTCGCTCAGGACTGCTCCTTGTTTTCCAAATATTTGAAAAAAAAAACCCCAAACCTTAAAAAATGGACTTGCTGGCCATTGAGAGGTGGGATGGGTCCTGGTCCTGCAGACCTGCAAAGCGGGGTACTGCAGGGAGATGGGCTTCAAAAGCATGATGTTGGTCCATATGCAAAACCCCCCATTTTTTTAGGCAATTAAAAGGAGAATTTTAAGTAGATCCGCTATACTTAGTTCTGTCCCCTTTTGGATGAACCCGCCCAAGCTAAAGGAGGGTGCCCTGAAGGCTGGCAGCCGGGCGAGCTGCTCCGTGGCCCAGGTTGGGTTTCCTGAAGGTCTTTGCCTAAAGGTGCCAGAGGGTTATTTGGGTCCAAACAGTATTTTCTAATAGCATCGGTCTGGCCGTGAAATCCTGCAAAAATTAACACAAACCAAAAAAGACCTTGCTTCTAGTCATTTCCTTCTGTAAAGGAAAACTCCTTGTGCTTTTGGCTGTGAGTGAGCATTTAAAGCGTGCTCAAAGTGGCAAAACCTGATGGGAATTAAAAAAAAAAAACACATATATTTTTATACCTATCTACCTACAATCTCAAAAAAACCCCCGTAGAAAATTGAAATAACTCAGATAACAATTTCAAATACAAGCTCAAATAACATATACAGACAGCTATAACAG